CCTATACTCTTCTAGTTCAATGCAAAAGACCCGATCTAAAACGCTTTTGTAGAAAAAATTTGCGAAAAACTATGCTACCTGGACCCCTCCGGATTGATGAATCCACCAAATCAAACACGTTATGTTCGATTTCTCTGCAACCCGGAAGGCTATCGGGTAGCGGATTTTAAAACTCGTAGATTCACTAGTGGACGTTGTCCGAACAACTATTTTTACTGTCCTAACTCAAAGATTTCAAAAAATTTTCTGATTTTATAGTGTTTCTTACTATCAAAAATTGGGAAAATTTGGTTTTTGGTACCAAACTAGTTCCAACCACTTCCGAACTAAAGTTAACCGGTTCTACTTATTACAGTAGTGCAGTTACGATGTAACACACTAACTTAGCGCTTTTTTCGGTTTCAAAAAATATCGATATCTCAAAAATCGCGACTTGTGGGGGGATCAAAATATCGCTATTTTGACCCTAAAAACCGGTCTGTTTTCGTTGTTTTTCACTGAAAAACGATATAAGACTATTAATATAGGCTATATAAGTAATAATATTAGTAATACTATACCCCTCCGGGTTTGTTTATTATCCGAATTAAGGTGCTTAACTCGGATATTCGCAGTTCGGTGAAGGGTCACTACAGTGCAGCACTGTCGAGCCCCCCACAGATCACTATCTTACTCTTTGTACCAAAAGGGATACAAAACTTGTTAACGATACCCAACAGTCGATTGTTGTTGTCGTTGAGCCCCTTCTTGTTGCTCCTTGTACTGCTTGCCGGATCGCTCTTCACCCAAGACCCTTCCGAATTGAGCGCAAATCAGCTGACCCTTCCGGTTTGAGCGCAATTTATCATTAACGTGCTTAAATGCTCAAATAACCCTACAGTACAAGCCTCACAAACGGGCCACAAAATTGATCGTAACGATCCTGACTGATATAAATGCCTGTAACAACAATATATCTATCAACAACAAACGGGGGGGTTGAATCACATCTTGTCTGGGGGGATGATTTCTACTGATTTTTTACTTTTTTACTGTTTTTGGTTTTTTCGGTTATTTTTTATGTTTTTTGTTTTTCTTGGGTACTATACTACTTTTTGTTTGGTTTTGCTTATATCTTTAAGTGTTTTTGGTCACAAACCACTCAGGGGATGAGGGGTTCATGATTCCCCCCACCCTTCCTGGTTCGTGAATTTTCGGTCTTAACTAGGTTAAAAAACTATTCACGGTAATCCGGAAGGCTTCCGCGTTCCGAACTACCCTTCCGCCCCGGCAGTTTAGGCCTATTAAGGGCGTTAATGTGAGCATCCGCTCGGCGCGGAGTGCTCGTTAACGGTTCCGCCGGTCATGATGTTATGAAAGAATAACACCCAGGAGCGCCATAAAAACATACATGTAACATTCGCCCGGAAGATACATATCGACGGATAACAAAACTAAGTCTTAAGACGACTGGCTAGCGTCTAAACAGAGCTTTGCATGTTTTTCACCGTCTCTACCAAGCCAGTACTTTTCGGTGGTCTTTCTTACATCGGGTCGACAAAAACGTTACTGCTCTCCGGCTTCGACCAGAACGCTCAAATTAACTGAATTACATGCAAAATAGTGAGCTCATGGCTGGGTCTCAGTATCCCCAGACCACGAGGTCACTCCTAAAAACAGGGCTACTACTTATTATATTACTATTGTTTTTGTTCAGTAGATAAAAACCATCATCTCCATCGAAGATGGATCAACCCTTTCCCCCACTCCTAGCTTCTCATCCTTATCAAAATGAATCCAGTTGTTAATTAAATTCAATTCAGGACATGACAAGAAGCTAAAAGTTTATATAAAAGGCTAAAAGTTCCAGTCCCGAAACCCTTCCGGATTCTTGAATCCAGTGAATCAAGCTCCTTAAGTTCAATTTCACGCCAATCAGGAAGGCTGGTTCTCACCCTTCACCGTTGTTGGCAACGGCCTTGCAACTATTGTAGCAGCACAATAGTTGCAACTTGGAACGTTCTCTGCTATTGTAGTTCGTTGTCGTTTTTCTTTAATCTCGATTTTCGTTCTGTTTGCAATCACAGATAAAGTTGTTCTGTTTTTTCACTCGTTTGTTGTTAAAAATGGCCGTTTCAGCATTTCTCCGAAAAGTGACGTCATCATTCGAATTTTTGAAAATTTAAAATACTAGAATATTCTAGCCCTCACCGTTTGGCTAAACGTTCCAATAACGTCGTTAATCCTTCGAAATCATCAACTCGGAAGGCTTACTGCTAAAAATTCGAAGCCTGCATAAATTGCACTTTGGCCATTCTGGTCGAATGTCACAACTATGCCAACCATCCTCGGTAACGTCTTTTCCGCACACGCATTTATGCCGTTTGCATAATTTTGATCCTAATCGAAGTCCTATCGCAATTCTGAGTTGTTGGTTCGACAGTTTTAACCTTAAATTTTTGCACGGGATGACGTTCAACCATTGGGATCCAAATCTATCTTTGAACGCGTTGAACCTTTTTACGTCCGTTGGTTCGAGTCGTAAAATCAAGTCTGCAATTTCGCTATCAAAAATTGGCTCCGTCAAATTTTTTTGGATTTCATTTTCCGGAGCCATTTCAATTTTTTCAAGGTCAAACCACCGTTTAAGCGCATCATCATAGGTTCCATCCACATGCTCCAAACCAAAGATTTCGCTCAAGGCATCTTTCCCTCCTACTGCTGAGGCTAAGAAAGCGGGTAAAGCGAGTAGACGAGCGGAAGAAACGCCCAAGCCACCTTTGGCTGCCGGGAGAACTGCTTGTAAAAACTGGTTATCATCCATTTTCACGTTAGTGACCTTGCATAACGAATTGCTTAGTAATTTATCGTAGCATTCCAAAAAATCATTTTGCAAAAAACAAGGGCTCGTACGCAAAAATTATAGGAGTTTTGGCATGCTAAAGCAATTTTTCAGGAGGTAAAAACCATAATGGGCGTCTAGTTTGTCAATGACATCCGAGATTTTTTCAAGCTCCCTAATTTTTTCGCCGAGCAATTTTTTCGGCAAAGTTCGCCGATTGGAGATCCTAAAATGAGGAGTTATTTTTTTTGTTTTTATGTTTATTTTGGAGCATTTTTTTTTCGAAATTGTGTTAAAATTGAATTATACTGTGTACTAGTAGTCGGTCCCAAAAAACAAAGTTCACACTTCTCAGTGTTTAAGCTCAGGCCGTAAATTTGTTCCGATTTCAGAATGTTTTTAAGGTCCTGGAGTACTACCTTATAGTTGTCGGCTAAATTCCCATCATCTAAATACCAGATGTTAATTTTCGACTCCAACTGTTTGACTAGTGTATGAATTGTTTCCGCAAAAAGGGGTGGCGCTTCAGGATCACCTTGCTGAGTTCCGTCTTCTGACATTATGACAGAACTTCCGTAAAAAAGGTAACTAGGTTTACCATACGCGCAATGGGTGTAATTATACAATTCGGGGCGATTTGAAAAAAAATGATTCAGCATTGTTTCTCTGTTTAAAGAGTTAAAGGCATTCTTAAAATCTAGTTTTAATAGAACAGTACATTTTGGATTGTCGTCGCGTTCAATTAGGTTTCGAAACGAGTGCGCAGCTATTTCTGCTCCTCGTTTGGTACAACATCCTACCTGTACGTTTCCGAAAAAATTTTGTCGCTCGGAGAGGGCCTTGCTTCCAGCGCATTTAGACGCGATACGTCTCAGCGTGTTGCCTATGGCAATCGGTCTCAACCCTCCGTCTATTTTTATGAGGGCGATAAGCTTTGCGCCAAAAAAGAAAGGCCTTAGTGGTTCCGGTATTTTGCCATCTCCAATGAGGTTTATCAGCTTAGTAAGCGATTTCAGAAAATTAAGTCCTGCACTGCCATTCGACTTACTAACAAGATCTTTAAAAATTTGAGGAAATATTTTATCAGGACTTGCTGCTGATCCGTTTGGAAAGGACATTATCGCTTTGTATATGTCGAAATCGGTTACGAAAAAACTATCCAACTTTTCTGGATTTGGAGCTGCAAATTTGACTCGCTGCGGGTGCTTAGACAACAATTTTTGATAGTTATCAGTTGAAAAAGGAGCTATTTTGTCATCCGAAGCAGCAAACCTTATTCTTCCCTTTACATTTCCTTCATCGAGCTTACTACTTATTAACTTTATACTCTGCTCGAGGTCACTCAGAGGCGGGCTTGAAACTTGGGGATGGGGTTTTGGAAGTGACACGTCATTTGCTCGAATTTTTTTATTTATCAAAGAGCTCATGCTTGTGGTCTGTTTGCGTCCACTTCTTTTCGGTTGCTCCAAAAAAAACAAGAACGACGTTAAAAAAATTAGCCATTTTGTAACATCTTCTACATTGTAGACGATGTCATTTATTTTGTCCGACAGACTTTCCGCCAAGGGAACACGCGAGTCTTTTGGTACTCTCTTGAGTACTCGGACATTTGAGATGGCTGTATTAACATAATTGTCTAGCACTAAATCATTACCTATTGTTGCTTTATTAACAGATTTTACATCAACGCATAAAGGACACTGAAACCATTGGGTTTTCTTAGAGTCGCTAAGAGAAATAATCACACAACTGATATGATACCAACTAGAACAACAATCACATCTAATCCAATTTATCAGTCCTGAAGGTTTTAAGCAATCTTTGCTTGTACACTCTTTGTTGTTTTTCCTCATCTTGACGCAGCATAAAGGTAAAAAAAGGATTTTGACTGGACTTTAGGGGACTGAACTAACCCATGATAAGCGGTTAGTGGGAATTTTACAAATCTGCAAATAAAAAAAAGACAACTAAATTAATTTAAATTTTAAAATTGAATTATAAAAAACAAAAACAAGGAACAATCTCACCCAAGCTCAGTAGGTCCAGCGGCGCACCACCAGACTCCTCAAGCCAGTTCCAGTTCCCCACCTCCCCACAGAAAGCCACTTGACAGACCTGTCTCTAAAATCCCTCAGAGGGCGCTCCACATACAGGCACAAACATCAAACATAACAAATCTATTTAATAAGTTTATCACAACAATTAGGCTTGTGATAAACTTATTCGACGATATACATCGAGTTTATTGTCATTTAGATTAGTTTATTGTAAAAATCCTGACGATGCACATATTTGCGAAAATGTTTGAAATTTACTTTTTAGCAAAAATTTCTTCAATCTAATACACTCGATGTACAAATCAAGTTAACTTTGAAACATTTATGCTAAGTTTTTTTTGTAACTGTCCATTCATCGCTTTACAAGTTGTTACAAGGAAAAAAAATAGTAAATTATAAAAGGGGCCCTTCCGTTTAGGTACGGTCGTGCACAAACTGTTATATACATACCTCAATAAACAATATTGCAGCAATTGGGTCAAGTCAGCATTTAATGCATTGTCATTAAAGCTATTTACTTCAACCGTCCCTCCTCTACAAAAGCACTAATTGAATTGTCTATGAATTGCGTCTGACGCAGTGATCTGCAACACTGTATACAAAGGATAGCGCTCCTGAGCAGCGCGCAGCTTAACATGGTTCTTATATAGTTTATTGTTTCTGCGTAGCTTTCATGCCTTTTTTCACTAAGTTTATCAGTTATGCTCTGCATAGTACGAGTAGCTGCTGGTGCGGCACCACCAGTGCAGCCAAAAATGAGCGAGCAGAAGCTGCTCTGTTCGACCTGTAGAACTCTCTGCTGGTATTTTGAATCTTTTTAAGTCATTCGTGGTACTTATAGGCTTCTTTCATTAGTCTTCGTGAAGTATTTGCGTGCGGGTTGAAGACTTTGACATCAAAGAAGGTTCGGCTAACTCTTGAGCCCCATAATCATTTAGCTTTTACATCTAGTCGAGCGTCTTCATAAGTTGTGGTTGAATTGTTGACAAAGTTCTCGCCTTGCAACGACTAAAGTTTCGGCTCGATTTCAACATCAAAGCAAACCTTGCTCATGAGGGTGACAAAGGTAACTCTGATTTCGTTATGCCTCATGTGGGTTTATCCACCTTTGCACAGTGAAAGGCGTGGGTAATGTCAAAAGATTGACCACATGCACATGTGAGTGGATTGTTGGTTGGTTCCCATCCATTTCTGAGATAAAATCCATCTCGGATTTCGGATTTATTCAGGTTTCATTTATATCTACTAAGTGGCAGTGCATCTAAAAGTTCAAGGCTCCTCTTTCAGCTCAAGTGCGTATTTTTTATTGTCGCTCAAGTTGTTCAGTTTTAAGTGTTTTAATTTTTGTATCGATTTTTTCTTGCTCAGATATAGCTGCTAATGAGTCGTATGTGTCTACGGCTGAAGATGTTTTAATTGACCATTCTAAAAAATTTTCATAGTCAAAAAATAGCCTAATATTTAGACCACCCATTTTCAGTGGCAAAGAAGCGATGTCTCTAAAAAGATGGCTGATATTATCTTTACCAATTAATTTTGGAATGAGATTTTCCTGCAGTATCTTCTCGCAGGTTTGCATGTTTTCTGTGGTATTGCGGGTAGTTCTAGCTAAAAACAAAAATTTTTCTTGTATCTCTGTGATGTAACAGAAAAACACGTTTTGTGGGGATGATTTTACGATCTTGCAGTTTTTTCAGTATTTTATTATGTTCTTCTAACTGAGTTTTTAAGAAAGTTTTACATTCAGTCTCAGATCCTATGACAGAACCAAATACTTTGGCCCCTTTCTTCTTTTCAGTTTCGGTATTTTTGAATACTTTTTATCTTCTTGTTGTTTTTGTTTAATCTTTTACAAGGAGCTGGCATTTCAATGCTTTTACATGATATCCAAAAAAAATTGCCGTGTTCAATAATATTGTCAAGAACTCTGTATCGTTTGCATACCATTTCTCTGATAGGCTGTAATCGTTGGCTAGTTTCGTTAAAGATAAAGTGGCTAGCCCGTATATTTCTATTGCTAATGGGTCTCTTTGTGTGGTTCCTTCTCTAAAAAGGATTGTTTTTTTATTCACGAAGAGTTTGGATGGATTAGAGTTTGAGTTCTATATTGCGAGTAAAGTTGTTACAAGGAAAAGGAAGTTTTTTCGTACAGGAAATCCTAAGAGTTTCCAGTTAAGGAAATGTTACTGATTTGGTACTGAGTTTCCTAGTAATGGAGGTGATACTGAGAATGATGATTAGAGTTAATGCAATGAAAATAAAACTCGATACGGGTCACGTTTCTTCAATAAGACCACGTATCTTGACAAAAAAAACCTCAAAGATAATTTTCATAAAAAATAAATTTCAAACGTTTTCGCAACTATGTGCATTGTCAGGATTTTTACAAAAAACTATTCTAAATGACAATAAAACATCAACCTACAATAAATCACATAAATTTTGGTCCTAAAACTTCATGTTAATACAATAGCCAATCACAGTTGACTTCTAAATTTTTATTCAAATTAAAATGCTTTTCAAATCTAAAATTAATTAAACAATTTTCAATTATTTTGTCTGGAAGTTTATGAGTCATAATTTGCATTTAAACAGGTACATTTTAAATAAAACCAAAAACATTTTAAGACTAGATTTTCAGTAAAAATTCGTGTTCAAGCCCGGTTTCTCTTTGCGGATATGTATTGCCTCTAGTGTTAACAATTTTGTTTGGTTGTTTGATCTATCTGTAATTTCTCAAAAAAAGATCTTCGCTACTTCCCTCAAAACTACATTGCTGAAGGTGGAGGCCTACCGGTGAGTCTGCTTTCTTATGTTCCTCACTTCTAGAGGTCAAATGTCGAACAGTTTGTCCAGCATAGGTGGAATTGCATCCACAACATGAGTGTTTTTAAACCATTCTTGACTAGAGGTCATAAGAAAAATTTGACTTTAGTGATGGTAAACATGATTTTAGTTTTCTTGTGGTGCAAACCACTTGAAAGTTAGTTAAATTTTGTATTCTACTTGCAGAATATTGGCTTTGGTTACCTAGAGAGTACACCATCAGCATTGGAGGCTTCACATTCCTTGGTGATTGAGTTGACAAACTCCTCTCACTATCCAGGGGGCTTGCCCTTACCCTCGATGATTTTGCACAAGGCGTCTGCCGCCACCTTTGCGAATCAATTTTCAGGGTACTGGTTTTTCAGCCCTATTGTTTCCATAGCCCTATCAAATTGCTCCCAAAAAAACTCGGTGTACAGTGCCTTTGATAACACTACGCTTGTACTGAGTTGGGGCGCAGCTTCTATAATTCAGTATAGTCCCAGTATCTGTTGGTTTCTGAAACCAAATGCAGGTTACCCCCTATTCTGCGATACTTTTATGTTTAAATCCAGGAACGGCAAATTCCCCTTTGAATTAGTTTCCTCTAGAGCGAACTGCAGATTTGGAAGAAGAGAATTGGCGCCATCGAGTACATCACTCGGCTCACCTATGACTGTTCTAACAATGTCATCCACATACCTGAGGAAAAAATTAACTTGTGGAGTATCCTTCTTGTTGTTCTTAGCGCGGCAGCAGCATTCATAGTACCAGACTATCTCGATTATTGATGCGTACGCATCATGGGATATTTTTCCGCATTTTAGATGATATCAGTTTCGGCAACCCTCGCATTCACCTCTTTTTGATCTATATGTTACTATCCTGTGGCAACATGGGCATGAACCGTTTTTGTCATTCATTGGCTCTATCTCCCTTACCACCCTGTTGACCTCAACTTAGAATAGAATTGATCTTTTCTTTATAATTTCCAAGTAAGTTTTCTTTTTTTTTACCTTTTGCTGAGCCAAACAGCAGGTAAAAGAACTGTGGTCATGTTTTGCAAGCCACGAGTAATGAAACAAAGCAAAACAAATCACACTCTCCTCACCCCTGTCTTTGAAGCGCAGACACTTCCTCTGCCTGCAGCTTCTGCTCACCTCTTGCTTTCGCCTTCTTCATTCTCTGCTTCCATCCTTACTCGATGGATTTCATTATACCAAATAGCCTAAATTGACAGTTCGCAAACTTCCAAAATGTGCAAAATGGTCAAAACGATATACTTTATGATTTTTGAGCTGTGGGCATCAACGTTGGAAACCGAAATTACTTTAGAAAAAGCTCCCTGAACACAAACTTTTTGTCTTTTCTCAAAACGCAAACATGTGATAAATGACTGACTGATTCTGATAGAGAGCTTATTGATTAAAAAAATGTGGTCAAAAAGTGCTCCAAATTTGTAACGCTTGCTTCTAATTAATTCGCATTTATATGTAGGTGTTTGTAATTTTATGCAGCGATTAGTTCTTTGATTGCAGTTAATTTGTGCTCGCAATTGAGAAAATATACATGACTTTTTTATTATTATGGGCTTTTTTGTCATAAACAGAGCGCTATTGTTACCAGTATCTTTTTACTGCCTTGCATTTGCGACAAAATAATTTTTCCCAGTAGAAATTGTTCAATCGTATTTCTCCAATATGTCGCTTTTTACTTGCATTTGTGTAAAGGGAAAAAGTGAACATCAAAAAAATCAAATTTTTCTTAGAGTTGCGAAACATCGGTTGGAAACGTTTTTTATTTTAGAATAATTTAAAACTAGTAAAAAGAGCGCGAGTGGTATTAAAAAAGAATAAAATTCAGGCCGTGAAAAACGTTGTTTGAATACGGCAAAAAATTTCTGATGATTTTTTTCGCGTTTTCTTGATGATAAAAAAAACTCTAAAAAAAAATAGAAAAGCAAAAAGTTTTCTCATATTTGTTCTCGATTTTTGTTCGTCCTCCTTGGCATTCTTTTTTTTGAAGACAAAAGGTATAGATTAAATTTTTTAAATGATTTTGTAGCCTTTCATTGCATCATACACAAACGTAACGGTTTCGTTTTAAACAAAAAAAAACGTTTTTTTATGAATGTGGTCGTAACTCACTGGGCTACTTACTTGCACGGCAACCAGTTACTTTTGTTTTCATTTACGCTAGATATAACGCGCTTTTTGTTTTGACGGATTAACCAAATAACCTGAATGATACTGACAAATTGAGCTCAAAAATTCAAAATCAACAGTCAAACTACTCGTGATTCTTAGCCGATTTTAAAGACAGTTTGATGAAGTGCAGCAAAAGAAACGAAAATTCTATACATTCAGTTCTTAAAAATACCTTTCTAATTTGAAAATAAAAAATTTGTACAAAAGTTTTTTTCGCGATATTTTCAGTGGTAAGAGGAGACCAATGTAGCCGCAGCATGGAGTTTGCTGGACGCAGTTTGAACTTCTCGGAACTGAGGACTGACAGCGGATCTGTGTTTGTGTGGGAGGAGAAAAGCCAGATCTGCCTCACTGGTGTTCATTTCAAGTGAATATAGAACTATTACATTATTTCTTTGTTTCTGACAGTTGAATGGCTAACACTGCTATAGTTGTGATGAAAAGGTTCAAACGGGATGGCTCCTTAACAGAACAGTCATTAAAACCAAATTTTTAACTTTTCTAACCAATCTTGATTCAGCATGTGTACCAGCATCTCAGATAACTGCCTAAAGCATTAAATTAGAAAGAAATGAACAGATCTAGATTTTTCTGAGGCTTCTGTGTCTTGTCGAAAGAATTGAATTGTTTTTTTTTCTTACCAAACAGGCTTCGAGCTCTCCTCAATCAAATAAAAATATATATTGAGACAATTAAGATCATTTATCCACGGGGGAAAGGACCAACACAAGAGCTGTACAGCTCATCACGGCGAACCGCTGTAGTGCCCCTGTTTAAGAACTACTTGCAATTATTATAATTATTTTGTTTATTTTTCTGGGCTGGGTAATGTTGCTTCACCCTCAAGCAACGAGCACGGATCATGGTGGGCCTCGAACATCCGATTGAGAGGCGGAGACGTAACCACTTCACCACCGCTCCCCCTAATTATTTTTTCGTTTTTTCATTGCGCAACTGACTTCTTAGTACCCGTGGATACAGAGACCAAAAACTGCGTTTATGGATCATTTAATATTCCTCTTCGCTTTATAAAAGTTTAAGGTTTTTTTTGTGCCATTTACTTCGGAATAAAACTAATTAGCGCTAATTATCTTACTCCGTTATGTTTCGCTAAAGGTTTAGAGCTGACCTATCGAATCCTCTCGCCAAAACCATGGGAAAATAACCTTTCAATTTTGGTTTTTCTGAAAATTGCTGTTTGAATTTTTGTGCACAAAGGTGAAATGCAGCGTATTGACTTTTATCCAACAGAAAACAACATGGACAGCCATAGCCTAAATTCACACTATTATAGCCGCACAAATTTATGCACTGCAGACACTAGTTTTTACGAACAAGAATCTTTTGGTACGAGGGTCGCTGAAGAAAAAGAGAGCGACTCGGGAAAAACATACGAAAAAGTAACTGCGAGTATCGAGTAGTTAAAACGGATCACGTAGACCCCTTTTATTGACGTTAAAGACCCCAGTGCTTAAATATCACCAGGTAGGGAAAGGCAATATTGGATGCGGTGAATAAGATCGCTTGAGATGCAATGCGAAGGGTTGCAACTCCATAGAGGCGTCTTCCCTTATCCGAGAACAAATTGTTTTGATGACTTAAAATTTCTGGCCCCTGAGTGCTTAATTGTACATATATATTTTGAAACGATCATAGTCAGTACAGTATCATATATCGGCGAGGTGTGATCGCTTTTACCTTCAGTTCTGGTTGCCATCTACTGGAATGGCCGTCGCTTTGAGTGATATGACTGAATTCATTTTTACGGCTTTGTTCTGAAGATAATTTTGCCAATTTATACTTAATTTTAGGAGCAAATCTTGGCTCAAAACTTACAAGCATCTCAGAAAAGCCACTGTACCGGAGAAACCAACTGCGGCGTAGAATAGATATATTCTGATTTCTTTCTCCAGTCGAGTATGCCGACCATTCATTTTTTTTCAAACGCAATCCTAAAAAAAGTTTCAATCACCCACATATCTTTTCTATTGGCCCTTTAATTTGGGTAAACGGTCTCTAATCTTTGTTCAACAGGCCCGAAGCCGAAGGCCATCTTGACCAACAACTGGTTGGCTTGAAAATCGAACTCTGGATTGAACATGGTGACAAAATGTTTCCAAACTATGGGCACAGTACAACTGAATTCATGTTCTCACAATCACAACAGGCCAATTTCACTGCCGAAGAACTGCCCCCGTTTCTCATGTGCATGTACACTGGAGTAGATGAAAAGTTTAGCGATTTCATCGAAGGTAAAATTAATTTTCGATTTAGTGAGCAAAGAATTTGATTTAGTAGAAAAAAAATCGAAACATACGCCCAATTTTGGCCGAATTAGTCGAGAGCATTTTTGCTTCAGTCGAGAAAATCGATACTTAAGTAGAAAAACGTGGCGTAAAAAAAAACAAAAGTAGTACAGGTGGAGTAGAAAAAATGTGGGGTGTGTGGCATTCGAGCAAACCAGCTTCATAATTAGTCATCAAAAAATACTTGCGAGTTTCTACCTCAGATTCAACGATGAAAGAGTAACAACAGCATTCATTAACAAAAGCTGGTTTTGAGAGATTAAGTTAAGACATTTTAATGATTTGATAAAATTTAAATTGAGCATCTTGCTTCTTTTAGACCCGAGCCTGTATCTGCGGATGAGTCTCTCCACAATTCCGCCCGCTCGCGACAGACTTCCTGTGGCCCATGCGGACGGCCCAATGCACCTGGCTAGTCTACCAGTTAAAAACGTTAGCCATCATGAATGCAGGGTCCTCAACATATCAGACATCCAGGAAGACAAGGAAAAAGAAAACTTGCACCAGGTAGAAATTTCCAATATTGAAGCCAGTGTGAGAAAAACAATGTATGAAATTGTTTTTACATTCTTTTTCGTCACCCAGGTGAACGTTGAAAAAATAAGCATGGCTGCGGCGTGATAAAACGTTGTTTTTCAGCTGTGAGTTTCCTCCCAAAATTTCGATGGCTGACACTTGCAGATTTGATTTTTAAACTTGGAAAGATGATTTTTTTCTGAATTTCTGTTATTCGTGTGTTGGAAAACTGAAAAAAAAAACGTTCAAATAACAATGATATAAATACTCGGCTAAACCTAATAAAACTTAATGATTAGGTGAAAACCAAATTATTCCAAGAAATTTTGAAAAAATTGTTTAAGCCTTATTCAGAGCTTTGCTCGCAAACTTTAACAAGACTGCTCGTATCAGGGCGAGTCCCTAAATATTCCGACTGCGCTTAAGGTCTATGGAGCAGTATTACAATGAAATAATCAAATGTAGAAAAAATAAATTGAAAAAAAAAATAAATTTGAGATTTGTTGTGAAAATTATCCCCCAGACACCATATAAAGTTCTAAGTGATAGTTTTCGCTCCTAGTAACCAATAAATTATGACAAATAAATTTCCTTCAATCAATTTGGAACGATTTTTAATTTCGATTAAAACTCCGCTCACGCGTTAACAGCGCGAAATGTATCGCTCGTCAATTGTCCCAATTTGTCGAAAATGGCTACCTTTAAACCCCCCTAAAATCTACAAAAAATTTTCACAGGTGAAATAATTTTTTTTTCAGTTTTAAGCTCAGGACAAGAATACATTGAAGGATATTATGAAAAATCTGTCAAAAACGGTTTGCTAAAAAGCCGAAATTTGTCTGAAGAAAAAAAGCCAACCGAGCACAAATATTCCTTTAGTTTCGCTACGAAATTCGGAACAAAAAATTGTGGATGAAAAGTTCTCACTAGTTTTAAATTGAATAACAGAACAGAGCTGATTTATAATAGAAACAAAACTGCTCGTACCAGGGCGAAATTCTGAATGTTTCGATTGCCTTTTAAGGTCTATAGAGGAACCAGAAACGTGAAAGAAAATAAATGTAATAAAATAAAACTATTTTTTTTTAAAGAACTTCACTTTTTTGTGAAAATTATTCCCCTACACATCTTATAAAGTACTAACTGATAGATTTTGCTCCTAGTAACAGATCAATCAGGGCAAATAAGTTTCCTTCAACCAATTTGATCGATGTCTAAGACGGATTGAATCTCTGCCTACGCGTTAATAGCGCGAATTATATCGCAGGTTAGTTGTCCCGACTTGGCCATAACCCCCATAACTTTAAAACCCCATAATTTTACAGAAAAATGATCACAGTTGAAAAAATTTTTCAACTTAAGTTCAAAGAAACATTATCGTTCAATTGATATAACTCGATTGATATTACTGAAAGATTCGGTCAAAAATAGCTAGTTAAAAAACCGAAATTTGACTGAAAAAAAAATCCACCCGAGCTCAAATATTCCGTTACTTATGTTATGAAAGTCGTAATGAAAAATATTGCCAAACTTCAGTTGACACCCCGGCGTACTTTTAACGCATAGATCTAAATCTCCGTCACTGAATCTCACTTGTATCTACTAAAAGCTTGATGCCTTTCCAAAAAAGCTAGCAGTAGAATATGCCGCCACAAGGGTAAGTTCGCAGTATGTGTGGCTATTATTTTTTCTCATCAGAAAATTTCAGCAACACTTCTAATTGACTGGCATAATTGACATTCAAACTGAATGATTTTTTTTTTCAATAAAGTTGCACTTGTTCCAGTCTTACCATCTAACGGAAGTTAATTGCATAGAATATGTTTCAATCACGCAGACTCATTTTTGTTTCTTTTCTCTAATTATGAGGCAAAATGAAAAGTGTCTCAACTGAAAAGTTCAACGACGATTAACTATTACTAATTGCAAAACAGCAATTATTTTTCCGACTTTCTAAGGAAACGGAAATTTATGCTTGGGGTGTTTTTTTTCAATTCAGTCAGTTTTCGGCAATCGAAATATTAGTTTAAGACCAAAAAAAAACAATTTTTTTACAGCTTAAAAAATATTAACTCTTTAAAACTTTAGAATCAAATATAAAAAGACGTTCTATTTCCAGTTGTTATTTGCAAACTTCTGCGAGTTTGAAAATTGTCAATTTGACCATGCTCTGGAATAATTTATGTGTTTTTTGAAGTTGTTACCGAAATAAGCATTTCATAGAAAAAAGGAACGAGAGTTATTTTTGCGTTTCGAATTATCCCGCACAAAAAATTTGTTCCAAATTGAATTGAGGCTAGCTAATTGTTCATATGAATTTTGAAAGACTCAAATTTTTACACTTGATTTTTGATTTTGTCCAAAAGTGATAGTTTTTTGAAATTTTCTTTTCCTAAAAACTATTCGATACGGATTGGGGGCAGCCGGAACATTTAGGTTTTGTACGATATACGAGCAGTCTTGTTTTGATTCAGTCGTTTAGGTGGAGACAAAATCATCCACATTTGCACAACTTTTCTCTTAGTCTTCAAAAATTAAGGATTTTAACTTAACAAATGTTATGATTTTAATTGAAAAAGATTTAACACACACAATGATGACATTGTAAAAATTGAAAGAAAAAAACACACACAATGATGACATTGTAAAAATTGAAAGAAAAAAAAATTTTTTTTTAAACTTGAGAATCATTGTACAGTGGTGATTTAAATTATCCGGACGAAACGAACAAAACTTGAATTTTCAAACGCGTTTTTCTCAAGTTGGGTTAAGATTAGACAAAAAGTGAAGAGGACAAAAGTTGCTTAGAATTTCACCAGAATTAATATGGTGCCATTTTTTTGCCGAAATTCTTAACAAAAATGCTACCCAAAAAATGGGTCATTTTGGTTTTTTTCAATTAATCAAAAATTACGCTGAAACTACTTTGCTAATTGATATGAAAATTATATCACAGGAAGCCTATTACGCAGTTCAACAAAGTTTAAGAAGGGTTAAATCTCCAAAAACCAGTATAAATGAAAAAAATTTTCACTTAATAGTCAATAAATGTGATTTTTACTATATAAAACCCAGAATCTCTGTTTAAAAATAAATTTTAAACAATTTGCGCAAATTTTTGGAAATTTAACCCTTCTTAAACTTTGTTGAGCTGCGTAAGAGGCTTCATGTGATATAATTTTCATTTCAATTAACAAAGTAGTTTCAGCGTAATTTTTGATTAATTGAAAAAAGCCAAAATGACCCATTTTTGGGGTAGAATTTTTGTTGACAATTTTGGAGAAAAAATGGCACCATATTAATTCTTGTGAAATTCTAAGCAACTTTTGTCCTCTTCACTTTTTGTCGAATCTTAACCCAATTTGAGAAAAACGCGTTTGAAAATTCAAGTTTTGTTCGTTTTGTCCGGATAATTTAAATCAGCATTGTATTGCAAAAAAGCATCAAAAGCAATATGGTTAATCGTAAATATAAAAATTTGTTTAAAACTGAACGAATAATTAATTGGTTATGACCGATTATAATTTAATCAAAAAGTGTTTCATATAATTCATCTTGATTTGCCATTGGTGCAGTAATTTTTGATTTACTCAATGATCCTGAAATGTTTACTTTGAAGCCTACTAACATGCACAGCTAAAATTACCACAACCTACCGCTCCTAGTTCCATCACCACTTCCTCATACGCACATCATCATCGTTAGCTCTGATTGCACCCACCTTTATCAACCCCATTCAACTCACTGTCACCAACATACAATTATCCCCTCTACGTCCAACACTGCTCCCGACCACACTACTTTTTGACCAAACTCCCCCTCACCGCAAATTCAACAACCAACCCTTTATTTTTTCAACAACAACCCCAACTCCTCTAGTTGCAACCATTTTACAATCACGCACCCCTAATTCGCTTAAGTAAATGAAAAGCGAGAAGGTGAAACATCACAGAATAGGTCCCAAAAACGCAATTTCTAACACAACGAGCTTTAAAATAAATAAGAGAAACAAAAAATTAACTCAAAATAACGTGCTGAAAACGAAACACACAGACTTGAATATGTCGAAAACTGTTTCTAACTTCAGAGAGCTATTCAATTGGAAAAACTGAATTAAATCATGAGAATCATATTTGAAAAATTTTCATTGTTTTAACAAGAATTAACCTGAGAGTGTAGCGATTGGCATGTGTGCCTAATAGCATGCGATAATTGTCTCGTAAAACAAAGGAGTTCAAACGATACGCAAATTAGTCTTTCTTTTCCAAGGATTTCCATGATACGCTGATAAAAAACTGCAAAATTGAATTGGCAAATTTTGAAGTTTACCAAGTCATGACACTACATTTTTATACATGGACATGCTAATTGACACACATGCTAATAGCCCAGTCCACGTTTGGTATTATAAAGCAATTAGGTAGCACTTATAGCCAGTTAATTCAACAGTTTCAAGCCCACTGATATTAGAATGATTTCATAAAAGATGATTTCATCCTGAGGCAAATTGTGGACGCTCAGAAATTGTTTGAGCGTGTCTCGGAGAATCTACACCAAATGAAATGAGTAATGTTCCAAAAAACAAGCTTCGCCAAAAACAAACCCTCGAAAAACCATTTTCATTTTAAAAATCTGATCTTGTTTTGCTAAAAATGTCTAAATTTTACTCTTTGAACAATCAATCATAGGCAAAGATAGGATGCTACAAGTTCCGATATAAAGTAGTTGTGTTTTTATGGCAGAACCTGAATAGAATTTTATTAAGAAAGGAAGGAAAAGCGCTTGAAAACTTACAAACTACAGGAATAAATCAAAATGACTTTTGATTATACTTACATCGATACAGCAAAATTACTCTTTTTTTGCAATCAATAAAACGGCGTTTTTTTCCAAGTTTCAAGACGTTTGCTTTTCTATCCAATAGTTTTACCAGTAGAGGAAAAATTACCTATATTACTTAATATCAAATGGAAAAAATAAAATGAGTACACATAAATTAACTGTTTAGAACCGAATTCGATGATGAAACAAATTTTCAAAACACATAGACAACGTTGTCAAGAATTGGCAATTTGAGTTTTATGGATTCCACGGGGTGATAAAAAATTTAACAAAAAAACAAAAAAAAATTCAAATTCTTCGAGAACTCATATTTAATTTTTTGAAGTTATGCAACTTAACGTAAAATTTTTTCTAAAGTGTTTCACACAGCTGGGTTTTAACGTCATTGATTTCGTACTAAACCACTGCCACAACAAATTTAAAGTCATGACAAAACTTGAAAACAACTTTTGGAACTAAACCGACAGCATTAAAATCGACTTCCTACAAGTTGAAAAAACGTGTTTAGATTAAACGAATTTATCAGGACAACAAAATTTGAGAACATTGAACAAAAAAAAATTAAAAATCTTCAGGAACTGACAGATTTAAATTTTTGAAGTTATGCAACTTCACGTGAAAGATTTTTAAAACGTTTTACAGCGCTAGTTTTTATAAGCCATTGACTTCGTACTTGACCATTACCACAACAATCATAAAGTCATGACAATATGTGAAATCAAAATTTAGAACTAAACCGACAGATTTAGAATCAATTTAAATGATAACAAAATTTAAATGACAACGAAAATCAAAACGACATAAAAAGTACAACTAGAACTAAACCGATAGCATTAACACCCATTTCCGGTTAGTCGAAAAATTAAACTGTCGCATTCAACTGATTAAACAAATTGATTAGGAGAACAGTTTAAAAAAAGCCTACATACTTAATTTTAAGAACATAACTGAATATCCCCCTTTGGAAACCCACACAAATTTAATCAAAATCAAGCATCAAGCAGCTAAAAAAATCGGCAAAAGAATGAAAGCTTAATAGTTACAGTTTCAGTGTTTGAAAAACTAGATAGAAAATGAGAGAGGATTTGAATAGATAGTGTTAAAAAAACTAAGAATTCCAAAAGAAAAACAACAAATAAAGAGAATGTTAAGCCGCAAAAAAATAAGAGACCTTGGAACTCAGAGCTATAAAATTTCAAGCAGATGGTTAACCAAAAAATTGAGCCCAAAGTCTCTTATTTTTTTGCGGCTTAACATTCTCTTTTTTGTTGTTTTTTTTTTCTTTTCGAATTCTTAGTTTTTTTAACACTATCTATTCAAACCCTCTTTACAATTCTATCTAGTTTTTTAAACACTGAAAATATAACTATTTTAAGCAGATGGTTTACCTAAATGCCAATCGACGGCAGCATGAAGCAACTAATGGTTGAAAATGAAGCATGTCTAACTTCGAACAGATTTTTGTTTTTAAAAAAAAAGTAAATTTCACAAAAACGAAAACACTTCTCCTCTCAAACGTAAGAAAATGGCGCTATATTGTAGCTAAGAACTAGTCACTGGCCATGCAAAAAGCACAGAGGGTATGAACCAGTCAGTTTTATAAGGTAAAAGAAAATTTTCTATATTGCTCAAAAAACCGCATCGGTAAAACGAAGTTTTCAATCGATTATGGCAAGCAAAATTATATTCAATTTGAATTCAACGCTGGGGTGGAGGATATTTACGTGTGGTCTATTGGGGGGGGGGGGGGGGGTGAAGGATGTTTACTTCATCGGATTAAACTTATTGTATACAAGTTACACTTATTGTATACAGATGATATACAAACAGTATACGTTCAAAACGCTGACTTTATAATGACTTTATCAGCCTTTTCCTTCAAAACCAAATTGAAAAAAAAATGAAAAATAGGGTAGAACAAAGCTTCAAAATCGTATCAAAACTTTTCATTCACTCACCAAAAAATTTCAGTATAAAATGGAAAATTTAACTATAAACTTTTTGAATTACGACTGAATGATAAATAAACTAACGCATTGTGATGGTTACTTGAGATGTTGATCGACAGCTCTCATACATATGTGATACATATTATATACTAGTTTTAATCAGATTAAATACATATATTTTACAGATAAGAAATCGAGCCACTTGCAGACAGTATAGCCTGATTTTCAGAGTATCTAATTGATTTTATACAGATTGCATACAAATCTTTAAACGATAGTTTTTTTGAACTGCACAAAATAGTTATAGTATAAAATTTCAATTTTGAATTCCGTTGCTTACAATTGATTCTTTACAAAAACAAAACCGGTATAAAATTTGGGTATAACTAATTGCAATCTTAGTTTTGCTTACGCGGAACGTACACAGCTTTTTTGCGTGGTGGCAGGGAAACTGAAGATGGCGTAGAACAAAACCTTCAATACTTATAATAATTTTAGCATAAATTCAAAGAATCAGTACTATAAGAATTAATTTTTTCGTTAAAATGGTTTACAAGGCAATTTTTGTCTAAGCCATAGCTGGAAAAATTGTTCATTATATGTATAGTAAATTGAACGTTTGAAATGCATAAATTAATTGTGATTGGACAAACAGTACTTAATCGCAACCCCCTTCAGGGATTCCACCCCCTGCCGACCCGAAGGGTCCCCCTTTTGTACTATTCTGAGCATCGCATCTACTTTTGGCTGACTGACCTTAAAATTTTTCTGAAGGCGTCTTTGGCGCCAATCTATCCTAATTTTGAGTGGGGGGGGGGGGGGTTTGGGTCGAAAAAACGCGATTTTTTTTGTCGAACTTTCCAAAAAGTGCCAAAAACGCCTCTTTTGGCCTTTTTTTCAAAAAATTGCCTGCGGTGCAGAAAATTATGTCAAATTAGGGTCTTTATTGGGATTTTTTTGAAAATTCCCCTCCCGAGAAATTCCTAGATCCGCGCCTGAATCAGACCGTATCAAAACTGTATCAAATGCTAAATTTTTTGAAATCACCCTGAAACCTTAAATTTAAAGCTCACTATTGATTTTTTTATTGGAGAAATAGAATTCCTTTCTTTTATCAAACGATTTCGAAGTAAATTTGAAAAACCAAACGTCAAGCCGCCAACACGACAATCAGTAACTTTTGCCTCAGCGATGTTACCTAAGGTTTAGCATAATAAGTATGAAATTAATCCTACTTCAAGCTTCGGCTCTTCTTAATTTAGAAAAATGCCCCTAACTTTAGATGATTAGTTGTCGATGGACGAAAAGTAGCGTCGTTTAAAAACTGATTCTGGAAAAACTTGAAAGCTCGGGTTTAGGCAGACGCAATTGTTTCTTATCTGAGCTGTGACGTTTTTTAGAATTCAAAAAACCTGCTCTGGCTTCTTCTTCTTCTTCTCATCCCAGTAGCAGCTGTCTGTATCGGCGGCATTGTTTTCTTCGTCCGGCGTAAACACAAAAGAAACAAAAATACACATCTGATGCATCCAGCCGACACAACTGAAATGGAAATTCCCGAACATCCAATGTCTTCTGCTTTGCAAACTTCGTCTTTTTGACAATAGTGCTTTATAGGTTCAATAGACTTTTTCTACGTGTTTCACGCTTTGAGATAATCAAAACACTATTTTATGTGTTAATTTTATAGAGCGTTGCTTAAAATCCATACAAAAATATTTAATTATAAAGAACAAACGCTCCTTGGTTGAAACATAGTTAACTAACAGGGGAAAAAGAGCAATGAACGCAAAGAAACAAAAAAAAACTGTTTTTGAAAAAATCTCAGCCATCGAATTAAGAACAAAGATGGCCTAAAAACACTTTGAAATTCTATAGGTGGGAAATCTTTTAATTAAGTTTACTTTAGGTTTTCGTGACCTTGACTTTTTTGCTGTTCTATAGTGGAGTTTGTCTTCTTTCCAGCAATGGAAATGAACTGAATTTGAAAAGACTCATCCTTCAAACTGCAATAATTCACAATTAAGCTTGAGCAAACTAATTACTCTTGAAATTGCTGTCAATTATAGTAAAAAAACCTCATTTACAAACTTTCTTATCCGAATTACTAATCTAATTTCATAGAGTTTTAAAAGTATTACAAGGCCAATCATATTAGAAAATTAGTTCATAGTATTTTATTACAACGATTTTGGGTAATACGCGATTGCAAGAACTGAACAATTTTCCCAATTGATATTCTGATTAGATCTTTCCATCGTCCGCTGGATCTGGTCTGAGATGTTACAGCAGTTTCGGCGTATGCCACCTCTATTACTGAACATAGCCTCTAGGAGATCTCTATATGATTCCCTTCAATGACAAATGCTGAAACAAATGCTTGCAGCTTAAACCTAGTTTTCCTATCCAGTTTTTGTTACTTTTTACACAGAGCGAAAATGTCGACTATTAAGACAACCATTAAAACCTTGTGAAACAGTTTTTAATGCATAAGTTTTTATTGCATCATGTTAAATTTTCACCAATTTGCCCAGAACGGATAATTGTCAAGTTCACTTCATTTCGAAAGATTCAGTACCACTAATTATATCTAAGTGAGACTTTCTAAGTGAGACTCCAACACGTTCAATTACTTGCTCTGCAACAAAAAAAAACTAACCTTGATTAATTGGAGTATAGAAAAGCTTTGAGTCGACTCAAGTCGCAGTTCCTAGATGATTTAACCATGTTAGAATAAACAGGCCTAGTCGAATCAAGCTAAGATAGCGAAATTTTTCAGGGAGAAACTTAGTTGTTTCTCTATTTAAAATAATGGGAAGAGTGCAAATGTTTGAGATTTTAGAATGCTTCCTAAGTCATAACATTTCTCTAAGAAAAAGTAAAAAATACACACTTCTACAACACACTTATTTCGCTTGAATTTTTAATCTCAGATTTGATAGGGCAGTTTTAAGAAAACTCAAACTGTTTCTAAAAAACGGTCAGTTCAAAAATGTGACTTTTTTAAATTCGTATATTTTTTTTGCGAAAAGCAGGCCGCAGTCAGTACATTAGTGAAGATTCTCAACATCGAGTTCCTCGATTAAACGCTTATTCTGAGAATTGACATTGTAATATTCGAGTAAAGTTGCTAAATTCCAAAAAACGGTCGAGGTTTTAAAAATTTCACTAGTTTGGAAACAATAATTTTTTAAAAAGAAACTGGGCATATCATATTACAAAAGCTAGCTTCCAACAACCTGTTGTGTCGATTTAACCTATGATATCAGATTTATCAGGATAGTTAACGAGAAAAGTCCAGAAAAATGGTTCAACAAATCAGATAGTTGACAATTCCGAGAATCCTGGCTTCATGTTTTAAAACATTTTCACGCAGCCGTTTATGCAGAAGAAATACACATTAACTGTTATTTCGATTGAACTGAAAAACGCAGGTTTGGAAGAGTAGTTCTCCTGAAAGTCCAAGTTTCAAAAATCGGTTAACAATTTTTTAAAACGTCTTTTCCGAGGATGATTACCTTTAAAAAAATTGCGAGTGACCGCTAACGCAGTGGTGCTTATCACTATCCGGTATATCCATTGAACCAACAAATTCTGTTTTATTTCTGAGATTATTTTTCGAGAAAATACAAAGACTTAAATAACGGTCCAAAATATCAAAAATTTCACTCTTCCGATATTTTTATGCTCAAAAAAGTTTGGGCGTAGACGCTTATGGAGGGCAGCTTACCAAATTTGCTTTTAATTGAAGCCAAAAAATCTCAGATTTGGTAGGTTAGTTTTTTCTGCTCAATTTTATGCCGCGTCAAGGATTCTTCATCTGCATCAAAATTGTCTTTAAGAATACACGCCCTAATTCGAATGGCGGCTCCAACAAAGTACTCTGGCTCTTTTTCTAATTCCAATAGCTGTTTGCTGTATTTGCATCTTTCTTTGGTATAATCTGACAAGAAGAAACATACGCCAACATAAGCATGCAGCGATACCCGTTGCCAAGAAAATCGCCGAACATCTAGCTTTCTCGATTCAAGCTACCTAGATGTCAGCTTGCTCGTTGACTGAGACTATTATGTGAAAATCTTGCTAGCCGTACAAAAATCTCAGATTTACACAGATAAACTGCTGTAAGAGAGCTCTTGTTTTTTTATCGTTTGCATGAACTGATCAATTATTTAAATAGGAAAACTCTTCGTTTCAAATATTCCCAAATATCCCCGCTCTTTTTCTTTCTTTTTTTTTTCGCTATTCGAACTTCAGCTTCGACAAGATTGAGTGAGGTTTATGAAATAGCTTAAGTTTTATAACAGCTTTATATTTTAGTAAATTGATGTATCTACGCTCCTTGGTTGAAAAAATGTTGCCAATTACAATAAACTATCTCATTTACAAATATTTTCAATGTCAGAATTAGTAGCGGATTTAGGGGATGCTTCCCCTGCCGACCCAAACGGTCCCCCAATTGTATTATTTTGAGATATCCATTTTTGGATAACTGACCCTAAAATTTTTCTCAAGTTGCCTTTGGCGTCAATAATAAATAATTATGAGGGGGAAGCGCGCGCCAAAAAATGCAATATTTTGGTCAAAATGTTCGAAAAAGGGCCTGAAAAGCTTTTTCCTTCAAAATTTTGATTGCGGCGCAAAAAATTTGGCCAAAACGGCCTAGTTACTGCTTTGGGAAAGACTCGGAAAATCAATTTTGCCAACCTAAAAAAAAATTCGATAAAATTTTTTGAAAATCCGCCCCCGAGAAAATCCTAGATCCGCACCTGGTCTGAAATAATCTAAATTAGAAGATTGCTAAAGAGCACTACAAGGCAAATCACATTAGAATATTAGTTCATAGTTTTTCAATTTTTACAACTCGGGGTGATAAGCGATTGCAAGAACTGGACGATTTTCGAATTTGATATTCGGATTAGATCTTGCCATCTGCCGCTGGATCTGGTCTGAGATGTTACAGCAGTTTCTGAATATGCCGCCTCTATTACTGAACATGGCATCTAGGAGATCCCGATCCGATATGACCTGATTGCCTTCAATGACGAATGCTGAAACGAATACCTACAACTGAAACCCAGTTTCCCTATCCAATTATTGTTAGTTTTTATACAATGCAGAAAAGACAACTATTAAAATCAAAACTGATGATAAATTTAGTAACCTAATGACATCTACGCTCCTTGGTTGAAAAAGGTTGCAAGTAGAAAAAAAACTATTTCAGTTACAAATATTTTCAATGTCTGAATCAGTAGCGGATTTGGGGTGGGGGTGGAGGAGGGGTTCGCGGACGCCCCTCTCAGGGATTCGACCCCCTGCCGACCCTTTGTACTATTTTGAGATATCCATTTTTGCCTGACGTACCCTTAAATTTTTTAAGTTCTTTGAATTTCACGAGCAATTCATAATTGGAACTATTTTGATAAAACTAACCCAATTTGAGAAAACTGAGTTATTAGGGAAATTTTTTCATCGGTAAATTCTAAAAGTAAATTCTAATAATCTGAAAAGTAAATTTCACTGTCGAGAGAAATCGATCACATTTTTTGCGCCATTTCAGCTTTGACAACTGGAGAGTGCATTTTGCCTACCATCTAGCAAATGAACTTGAACTAAACTCAAAAATTATATATACACCTAAGGTCATTCATATGTGCTTTTATAAGTATGAATGCAGTTCTTTTGTTATAAGAGCATTAAGATAAGACTTTTCCTGAAAAAAAAAAACTAAAAAAAAAATATCACGACCTATATAAGAGTCCGAACTACGTTCATCGACTCTAAATAAATATTCAGTACTTTGCGCAGAACGGATAATTGGCAAGTTTAGTTCACTTCAAGCGATTTTGTTTTATGGTCAATACTAATTGGACTTTGCTCATCCACTCTACAGAAAACTAACCTAGAACATTTGGAGCAGACAAAAGCATTTGAACTGCCCACAGCATCAACGGGTTGCACCGTATCAGCTGGAAATGAGAGAGTCGACTCAAGTTGCAGTTCCTCAGAAAGGCTGTCAGGTATAGATCATTTAGCCATGTTAGATTAAACAGGCCCAGTCGTCTCAAGCTGAGATAGCGAAGTGCCTCCTGCTCGGCAGTCAGATCGGGAACAGCCCTCACGCTTAAATGACAATCAAAACAAAATAACTTAAGACCTCGGACACTTAAATTAAGAAATTGAAAGATGCGCAAACTAGCAACCGCTAGGAGTGCCCTGACAGCATTAATCAAAAAAGTTCATTTTTTTAATCTGTTTTTTTTTTGAAAAAAAAAATCATTAAAAATTGCCTATCTAGGAAACCAAAATGATTTATGCAATAAAATGTGGAGTCCAGATTTGCAACCCCGAGTCTACCCTGAGAGCAGCCCAGCATAGGGTCGAGATTTTCAAGTTGTTAATTTTTAAACCAGTTTTTGAAAAACAACAGGAAAAATCATCAAAACGCAATGTCTCGAAAACCATAAGAGGATGCATCCTCAATATATCACGACAAAACTTTCCCCTCAAAGAAGTGAAAAAAATCAAATTGTTTGTTTGTTTTCTTAAATCAAAAATTTTAGTTTTTTTAACTAAAAAGGGCAGATTCGCAACCCCAAAGTGTACCATGACAGCACCCCACCATAGGGTTGAGAACTTCAAGTTCTGTTAGTTTCATTTAGATATAAATTTTTGAAAAAAAAAATGAAAAAAGGCCATATCCAGGAAATTAAAAGGGTTTGAGCAAAAACATTTAGAGGCCAGATTTCCAAACCCTGAAAGTAATCTGACAGAATACAACTACAGGGTTGAGAATTTCAAGTTCTTTTTTTTTAATCGAAATTTTTTGAAAACAATTGAAAAAATAACGCCATAACTCGGAAAACTAACTGATTGGATGGGTAAGTATGCAATCCCTGAGTGTACATTGACCCTAACACACCATAGGGTCGATAATTTTAAGTTCTGTTAGTTTTTTGAAAACAAAACTTTGAAAAAAATGAAAGTATAAAAAACGCCATCTCGGAAACCAAAAGGAAGGACTGGGATAATAACTTTTCCACGCCAGATTTGTGACCCTGACAGCACCCCACCATAAAATTGAGAACTTCACGTTTAATAAACTTTTGAAAAAATAAGTAAAATTACAAAACATGCTAGTTCACAGAAATCAAAATGATGTGAGCAGTAATATTTGGACGCCAAGTTAGGAACCCCTAAGCGTAACCTGAAATAATCTCACCATAAGATGATAAAAACAACGAAATATCAATTTAAAGTTGGGTGAAATAAACAATGAAACAAAAACATTGAAAGTTTGCGTGGCAAATAGAGAAAAAAAAAGAGTTAAATCATTCACACTCGAACAGACTTTAAACCGTCGACTTCGGTAAATATTTAGACCCTTGCAATAATTTGGAATATTAACCAGTCAACATAGGGTTTTCTGAAAATGTGCCAAGTGAAACGCTCGTTATATAATGTATAGATAGATATAGTTGGAAGAATACCATATACACGCTACACTACACTACCCTCCACCCTTCTCATGCTGGCAACGTACCGAGATCCTTACAATTGGGCTAGCATTCATAAACTGGGAGATCGAAAAACTTTCCTAAGCATTGCAATATAGAGTTTAACTGGAAAGAAGACCAGAACAGTTTGAGGAGTCTGCCTTTAGTCCAGTTAAGTTGCATAAAACATCTCTCATCAGATTGGAGAGTGGTAGAGGACAAAAAGTTTTAGTTCTGTGCAACGTGTGTTCGTGGTTCTGCTTCAACAAGCACATTTGAGCAGCCATAACGAGTCATAGTCGCAGTTGTAGTACCAGTTGAACAAATTCGATAGTGAGTGTACATCTAAGTCATTTGTGGCGAGGTTGAAGACGCATGATATAAATGTGCATTTATTGCTTGCTCAGAACTGACTTGCCGTGCAATCGAATGGTCGTTCGAGGAAAAACCTTTAAAGGCTCTCGCAACTATTTGGTCCTATTTGACCTACGTGTTACTGTGTTGTTTACTCTCAGTATCCAAGACTAACTACTATGTCGAGGAAAATTTTCTGCATACTTTTTTCGAGTACCGTCTGAGCTTGTTTTCAGCACTGCTGGATGCGTTTTTATCAAGAAAATTGAAACAATTAATGCAGATCGTGTTAACACGCAAAATATTCTGCATCAAAATTGGATTATTTTCAATTAAATATGATTTTCAATTTTTAAAAGAAAACTAAAAAGCCCAAAGAAATACCGAAGGTTCGAAAATTTTTGGCCAACATTCGAAAGCTATTTTCAAACGAATGTTGCACCACTAGAAATGACAGCCTTGACAAGCTTGAAGGCATTGCGTAGAATGTGACAATAATAATATACGGACTTACGACAAGATTGAGCGGACGAGAACCCTTTATACACAAATCATGGCAGTTGAATAATTCATTGACAGTATCTGCTCACGAGTCTCTAAGTATATAAGTTGGTTTCGGTACACTTGTTTATGAAGTGAAGCCAGAATAAACGTAAGTTTTTTGGGTTTTCAAATGTTAGGGTGTGTGATGTCGTTCGAGGGCATGATTTTGTTTGACGAGTCGTGATGTTCAGAAAAAATTCCAGATCTTATAGTTCTGTCTTGGGTCTTCATGATACTGAGGTAAAACGTTTTTATCGCCGTGACCCGGGCTGTAATCTGTTGTACTTGCGTACCTTGGTAATTGGGACAGTTCAGTGAACGATCGTTATAATTGACATCAGACGGTAGTATCCACAAACACATACTCTCTGCTGTTCTAGCTTTCTCGTATAAGCCGTGAAGCAAACCAGCAACGGGATGCGCAGCATATAATCGATAGAAATGAACTGTTCAACTTGGCGCGCGGTTGCTTTCTTACAGCAATATGTGAATTTTTCGGAAAGAAAACATGTAATTAGCAGAATCGATTTGGCGATGATAGTTGCTTTGTATGCGACACAGAAGCCAGACAGTGTCCCAAGCAGTTGAACTGGACAAAACTTGATAGTTTATGGTGCATATTAGGGCATCTCTTCGAGACTATGCTGCTTAGCGGTCACTCAGATTAGTTTTATAGTATAGAAGCACACGCCAAGAGTTTTCATTCGTTTTTGAACTAAACCACAATAGTTCTTAGTCATTGCGCGTCTGGCATAAATCAGATTTCGCGTAAATTATCTATTGGCAGAAGACAGGTATTAACGGATACGTTGCCCTTAAAATGCGAATTGGATTCAAAAACATGGACTGACCGTATAACACTACTTTCTTCTAATGTTGTAGACACAGAATAGTGGAACTTAGTGTGGAAAAAAGTGAACTGATCTTATAACAAGCATTGCTTGTGTTAACAGTAGACTAGATGACACAGATCTGTGCTAACACACTCAACAGCATGCACTGGTAGCTCGATATAGCCTTAACGCAGAGGCGAAGCGGAGCTTTGCACCACTTACTATACAAAACAACAGAGCCTCTAAATAAAAAATTTTGAGAAAATAGATCTATCAAAATGAATAGTGCCAGTTTTGAAAAAATATATATATTCCGAGACAATGGAAGGTCAAATTAAGATCGACGAAAATTTAGTATGCGGTAAAAAAGCTGAAAATATCTGAGAAGACATGCATAAACCTAAAAACTGAAAGACTTAAAAACCAATAAAAAGTTTTCGAGCCCTGCGCCCCCTAAAATTACATGCACGCACACAAAAATTTCTCTCGCTCATCAAACGAAGCAATTTAAGGCCACTGAACCGATATAATATTGAAAGAGAATATACGAAGTCATTGTTTGCAAAATTACAAACAGCCGAAGTAAAACAAAACACTAAAAGCAACTACGATGTAAATTGTGTACAGCAAAAAACAACATTTCTATGATGTGGTAATTAAAGCAGATTAAAAATAAGCCGACATTTTTTCTGAAAAGAATATTTCCGGTTCGAAAAAAGTTCCTGTCAGATTCCAACCCAGCACCTTTGCCCTACCAGGCGCATTCGTTACCTCCACAGCAAAATTTGAATTTATTATGAACTAAACCTAAATTTACCAATTTTAACTTTGACCATTTTATGAATTAAGTCCAAGTTACTTACCGGAAAAAAGTACTTGGTTGCAGTCTAAAAAACGAAATTAAAAAGAATCGAGTTGGTAAAATTACAACCAGCAAATTTCGAAAAGGAGCGATCTTCAAAACCTAAACCAAGCTCAAACTAAATCTGTAACATAGATGGGACCAGAAGATGAATTTCGTGAACAAGCTTATTGACGGGAAAAAGTCTAGAATACCGTTGCAAAACACTGCTATCCACACTATGTTGTACTCACTTGCAATACAAAAACAGAAAGCCGCTTAGTCAGAAAAAATAGAAAATTGTCGCCACCTGTTTCTTCGACTGACCCCTCAATCTCAGACTTCGCAGAAAGGTTGGTGCTTGAGAACGGTTTCAAAAATGAATAAGTTTTTTTTTCGAAGGCTACAGCTATTTTCTACAAAAAAGTTTAAAAAATATGACTTTTCCCAGGGCGGTTACAAAAAATAGGGCAAACTCGCTTAGGACAAATATATAAATAAGGCACTTCGTCATAATTTATTTACAATTATTTGAATTTATATCAAATTTTATTTACATTAAATTTTATTTATATTAAATTTTTGATCAGATTTAGCATTTTAGTTATCGATAAACCTAACAAAGTTTCCGAAAAACGATCAAAACTCAGATTAATTTGCCATTTTCGAAAACTAACTTACTATATAAATTGGGGAATAGCTGCTTACACCGAAAGAATTCCCACAACCTGCTTTTTCGATTACACCCCTAATTCAATATATGATATGATAGATTTTGAGAAAAATGAGGAATTTCAAAAAAATCTGACCGAACTGTCAAAAGATTTTCTGACCGAACTGTCAAAACAACTGTCAATGTTGTGGTCTTTTTCGAGGCCACAATTTTTTCTTTCGGAATTAGAACGCAGGGGCTTATAAAGAAGAGGTTACCATACCTATTTTACTATTGAAATCTTAATCTCAGATTTCGCCCGCTAAGCAGAAAAAAATCCAAGAAAATAAGCCAAAAAATTCCCACGTTTAGGTTTTCGAAGGCCTTTGAAGGTGAAGTAAGGTTAAAAGAGACTATGAAAGTATGCAAACAGACAATGTAAGAGCCATTCTTTCAAAAAGCCAGTTTCTTGAAAATCAGTGAAGAAGTTGATTTCGAAACAACGAAATAAAAAATGATTATGCAATAAAAAAAAGCCGAAACTGCTCAATCGAAAAAAACTCTTCACAAAAACATTAAAAATCAGATTTGGAAAAACTACAATTTACAGAACTTTTGACTATAGGAGAACACTGTTCAATCAAAACAACACCAATGCTTTACAAAGTCAGCCGATAACAAACAGTACAAGATAATATAAATTCAATTAAAAAACGGAAATTGAACCGATGAAAAACACGCGAAAACAACAAACCCGAAAAAGAAATTTCCGCGACTCTTTGAAAAATTTGACCCCGTAAACCACCAACATATTTACAACCTCAATAGCTTTTTTTGAATTTTCAAGAAATTTAGCATTACTTGAAATTTCCATTCCTAGAAAATTGACCATTCTGTGAACACAGTTATTTATGGGGGAAAAGTCTGGTACCCGATGGCAATACCCTTACTTATCGCAAGGGTATACAGTGCTTTAGTTAACACAAATAGATGCTAGAAAACCCGAACTTCAAAATATGTTTATAGCAGCTTGTTCTGTTAGAAAAAAAGCACGACAGGGCCAATGATTAAGGCCAGTAAAAATTTTAAGGCCTCCGGTGCTTCGAATAATTGAGAACTCATAAAATCACATATATTGAAAAAATACCTAAAACATTTGATTGTACTCTGACACTGCCCAATAACGAGGTTCGCAATTTCAAATGCTGATAAGTTTTTCTACCACATTGGAGACTAAAAGCATTTGAACAGTCGCATTTGGACGTTAATTTTGCAAATCCTGACATTACTCTACATTAACCAGCTACAGGGTTAGGAATTTCAAATTTAGAGAAAACTTTTTACCTTGAAGTTTCAAAAAAAAACCATTAAAAAAACCATATGGAAAAAACGTCACATCTCGAAAAACAGAAAGTCCTGAGAAGTCATATGAGGCGGCGAGATCCGCAATCTCCTCGAGTATTCTGGCAGCCCCCAACTAATGGTCTGCGAATTCCAAAATTTGAGAAAAAAAATTAAATTTAGATTTTCTGAAAATTTTTTTGAACACTCGCAAAAAAGTCATATCTCGAAATCACCAAAAGTCATAAGTTGCGGCAAGATTCGCAACCTTCTCGAGTACTCTGGCAGCCCCCTACTAATGCGTTGGGAATTTTAAAAATTGAAGAAGAAAAAACTAAATTTTAGTTTTCTGAAAATTTTTTGAAACCGCAAAAACGTCATATCTCGAAATTTACAAAGAAATGAGCAGTCAAATTGGAAGACAAAATTCGTAATCCTTGAGGATTATCAGACAGGACCCATCTACAGGGTTGGGAATTTCAGATTTTGAAGAAAAATTAAGTTTTCAAAATTTTTTGATAAAATCACAAAAAACGTCTTTTCTCGAAAACCACGAGGATTTGAGCAGTAATATTTGGAGGCAAGATTCGCAATCCTTAATAGTACTCTGACAGCACCCAACTACAGGGTTGAGAACTTCAAGTTTTTTGTATATTATTTTAAAATTTGAGTTCTCAGAAAATTTTTGAAAAAATCACAAAAATCGTCATATCTCTTTAACTAAAAGTATTTGGGCATTCAAAATTGGAGGCCAAATTTGCAACCCCTTGGGGAGTCCGGACAGTTTTCTGACATACCCCAAATAGTGTTGCAAATTTGACAAAAAATTTTAAATTTAAGATTTCTGAAAGTTTTTTTGAAAAACCAGTAAAAAAGTCTGATATCGAAAACTAACAAACGTTCACAATCGTTGAGAATACGCTGATAGCACCCAACTACGGTTGGGAATTTCAAGTTTTTGTAAATTTTTTTAACCAAATTCGCAACCCCTGGGTAAGGAAAATTTGCCAGCATCCCACATTTGTTTTGCTAACATTTAACTGGTTGAACAAACGTCAATTCAAACTGGAAAGTCGAAAAAAGTGCTTACGCATTGCAATGTACGATATTGCTTATCCACGCATACATACGTTATGCCCTTAACTGTTGCAAAAAACGCTTAAACATGGCAAGATACGCGTCACACGCATTTGAATTTTGTATAGATATAGATAACACAATCACCAGAGGAGTCATTACAAACATTGACGCTTAAAAAACCAACATACCTATCCTTGTTCTCTATCAGTCCGTCGAGAACTAATTCCTCTAGAACAGGCATGTCAGTTTCCGCCACGAGGAAAAGAAAAAAGTCATGCGTTATCAGTTTACACTGACGAATGATCAACACCTTAAGTGAAGGGTAGCCGGTCATGAAATTCTCCAGAAAGTCTTGTCTCAGACGAAACAGCTTTTCTAAGTGAAGATGTTCCAGATTCGGTAATCGAGAAAGAAAATGAAGCGAGCTTCCAGTCAATTCTGACAAACCCAAAGTGATAGATTGTATATTGGGAACAGACGACAGATATTTCAAGCTTACATCATTCAAGCTTGAACATCCCATCAAATTAACCGATTTAAGATTCTGACAATAATTCGAAAAATTCAAAATGGATCTGTCTTTTAGGCTTAATTGATACGATAAATCGAGATAGACAATTTCAGATAAATCAAATTCAATGAGAATTTTGTGCAGACATTCATCCGTCAGTTTCCTATCACCAGAAGAATCCGTGGACTCAATGCCAAGCATCAAGGCTCTGGGTAAAACGCAAAGTTTCAGATTATTTTTCCAGGAATAACAAACTTTTGGAATAACTACAAACAGCTCATAACTGTCCAAATAGCAAAAAATCTGCTCCAAGATATATGAATTCAATTTTTCCCACATTTTAATGACATGAAAACCTGAAAATATACAAATTTTAACGAAGACGGAAGCAACTTTTATTTATACCGCTCTAATTAAGTCAAAAATGTCACATTGGTTCTTAAAAGCCTGCTTACAAAAACTGCCTGTTGTACCCTGAACTCAGAAGCTAGCAGTTTAAAAAGCTACCACCATTGACTATAGTTATACTATTTTACGGTGCTCTCCGCTTTGGCTGCCGCAGTTCCAGCGATGCTAAAGTGCATTTAAAGTGTAAATTAACCTTGTTTTTGCAAAATTTTTGAGCATCTTCAATCTCCATACAGGAAGACCATATATTCAAAAAAGTTTCAAAGACAATATTCGAACAAAATTTCAGAAATTCACCCATCAAAAATTCACATTTGTAATCACATGAGAAAAATTTTTCAGTTTTTCTTTTTACAAATCATAGATATTCAATTTGTTGCTACACTCCAACATGAAGCACCTACCAGTTTTTTCCGGGTCTGAAAATGCCCGTTTTTTCCGAGTCTGAAAATGCCAAATTCTACCATTAAAATGATATTTTCGTGTGGAGTAAACGCTTATTGGAAACACTTTGAACAAGAAAATAGCATAGTTCACAGTGCTAAATTTTTTTAATTTTTCAAAAAAATGGTAACATTTGCCCAGAAATTAGACAGCGACAGAAAACTGAAAAAGTCTCTATTGACGACTGGCTGACGTCGGACACTTTTATTCTATGCGTTTTTCGCCGTCTATACCTAACCAGTTAACTTTTGGTCTCTTCAAGGGCTGACCATCGTCCTACTGCTTTTAGGCCATCGGCCAAACAAATTTTTCTTAATTTTCGTCTACATATGAATGTAACCACCTAGCTCGGTTTCGGATGACCAGACAGTGCAGTTATTATTAAAGCAGGGCTAAAATCATAGTTATAGTTACGAATTAAAAAAAAAACTAGCGTGTAACGCACCTCCGGTGCTTCGAATTTTCAACAACTCTGACAGCACCCAATTACAGGATTCGTAATTACAAATTTTGCAGAGGTTTTTATTCAAGTTTCTTATACAAATTTTTGTAGAACCATAAAATTTCGTGAAGTTTTATATAAGTTCTTAGAATAATTTAAAACGAACTAAGAAACGTCACATCTGGGAAACTGAAAGCAATTGAGCAGTCGCATTTGGACGCAAGATTTGCAACTCCTGAGAGTACTCTTACAGTAGCCAACTACGACGTTGGCAAATTCAAATTTTGAAAAACCTCACCTTAAAAAAAGGTATTCACATCTCGAAAACTATCAAAATTTGAGAAATATTTTTTGATAGCAATATTCGCAATCTTTGAAAGTACACAACTACATGATTGAGAATTTCACTTTAACGAAGTGTTTTGTAATTTGAATTTTCCGAAGGATTGAGATGTTCAAAAATTTGAATTTTTTAACATAAAAGTTTTTTGAAAATTTCGGAGAAAATCATAAAAGTCGTCATATCTCCAAAACTCCGAAGACTTGAGCAGCCATAATCAGAGGCAAGACTCGCAACCCTTGAGGGTACCCTCACAATATCCAACAACAGCATTGACATCTTCAACTTTTTGGAAATTTTTAAAGTCTAAATTTTTAAAACGTCATATCTCGAAAACTACAGAGATTTGAGAAGTGAAATTTGGAGACCAGATTTGCAACGCCTGAGAGTACCCTGACAGCACCCAACTACAGGGTGAGAAATTCAAAAATTGAGAAATTTCTTTAAATTAAATTTTCTAAAAACTTTTGAAAAATCTCGAAAATTGCCTATCTCGTAAACTAAAAGGATTTGGTTATTCATATATGGAGGCCAGAATCGCAAGACCTGGCAAAACTCTGACAATATCCAACTATTGGGTTGCTAATTTCAAATTTTATGAAATAAACACCGAAATTAAACTGGAAAATCGAAAAAAAACTCAACCAATGCAATATACGATATTATAGCTTAAACATGCAAAAATAATACGTTGAAAAAATTTAACATGGCAAGATAGTGAACCCCGCATTTAAATATATAATAGATTGACAACTTCAACGTTTTGGAAATTTTTAAAATCTAAATTTTTAAAACGTCATATCTCGAAAACTACAGAGATTTGAGAAGTGAAATTTGGAGGCCAGATTCGCAACGCCTGAGAGTACCCTGACAGCACCCAACTACAGGGTGAGAAATTCAATAATTGAGAAATTTCTTTAAATCAAATTTTCTAGAAACTTTTGAAAAATCTCGAAAATTGCCTATCTCGTAAACCAAAAGGATTTGGTTATTCATATATGGAGGCCAGAATCGCAAAACCTGGCAAACCTCTGACAATATCCAACTATTGGGTTGCTAATTTCAAATTTTATGAAATAAACACCGAAATTAAACTGGAAAATCGAAAAAAAACTTGACCATGGCAATATACGATATAGCTTAAACATGCAAAAATAATACGTTGAAAAAACTTAAACATGGCAAGATAGTGAAGCCCGCATTTAAATATATAATAGATAGATGTAAATTACAAAATTTTTCGCACATTTGTGCATCTTCAGGTTTAAAAGAGTTAGTGTTTTACAAAATGATCATCGAGCATAAAAATATTCTAAGACAACTGGCCATATAAAATAACAAACCATTCAAATGTTTGCATAATTGACATTTGCCCCAAAATTACATCATGATTAAACCAACTAACTTAAGCTTCTGAGATATTCTATTAAATTTATATTTTAATTAATTTAAGTTTAAACTTAGTTTTTTGACTTTTCTCTTTTTCCGATTTTGGAACAAGTCAATTATTTATTATCGATAATTATTTATTTTTGAAATGTTCAGAAACAAAGAAAAGAAATTTGAACTATGGTTCCTAAATCAAATTTATGGCTAAATTAAAAATAACTAAATGAAATTCGAAAATAAAAAATTGACATGCTACAAAATCGGAAAATGAGACGATTCGAAAAACATAAGTACAGATATTTTAAGTGATAGATACATATCGTATCCCTTATAGATGTTCTAAGATACGACTCATTATTGAATTAAATTAGATCGTTCCGGCCTTAGAAAGAGTTATCAATTGTTCAAAAAAAGTTACTGGGCGCTAGGCCTCCATTTCCACTCTCATTATTGAAAATACACGAGAAATAACGTCGTTACCATCTCTCTTTCTCTGCTCGGAATCTTGTTTTTCAATATCTTTCAGTGTATCTTCCATATTTTTCTACTCTCGATCGAATATTTGTCGTGTCTTTATGCGGTTGCTGTGTCTGATAAGTTGCAACTGATTGAAATGGCAATTTAGTTTTCCTGAGAAATGCAATGGAGATATCTAAATTTTGAAAAACAGGGTCTTCTGGAATATTCCAATTCTCCGTTCTGTATCAATTTCGTCGTTTAGACGCTAAGCACCGTCTTTTTTTGTCATAATCGGTTCAGCTATCATCGCACAAAAGCCCCCGGACAGCCTAATCAATGTTCCCATTGATCGCAAAGCTCATCAAGTAGTGATCCAGCGTCACAAAGGTATTATATTACATTTTCACTGCCTTTCAAAAGTTGTCACAAAATATGCGCTATTTTATGATTATAAAAAAATTATCAACTCTTCATTCACCACGAACACACGACATCTGAATTGTAGCGAGTCTCGAAGTAAAACCCAGAAGAGTTTGATGAGCTTTGTTTTAAGACCAGCTGGGTCAAGGAGATTGATGGTCGGTGGTAGGAAGTTAACAGGACGAGGTTTTCTATGCCAGAAGTGAATGCGCTGAGATTTCAAGCGAGTAGATGACAAAGTGACTTTGATTTCTGAATGATCTCGGCTACATTGTAACTTCACGTGCCAAGTCCAGTCGAAGTCACACTTGTTTTGTACAACACTAGATTACAAAAAATATCAGTAATTTAGAGATGTCGTGATGTTGGTAGGATGTTCAACTGGCGTAGACATTCTTCGTACGTTAAGTCTTGATAACTCAAGATCCACTTCGTGCATCGCGTTTGAGTTTTTTCAACACTTCTCAATATTTCTCTTTTCGACGCGAATCGGACAGGTAACGAATGTAAAAATTGGAGCAACTAGAGCTATACAAGTTCGGTTTTTGATTTGAGTGGAGAGAGGACGAGATATTTCGCTTGATGCGAAAGAAAGTGTTTTTGGCTTGAGAGCATTTAGAAGATATGTGCGCACCCCAAGAAAGATTCATTGCACGATAAGCCCAAGATCCTTTTCTTCAATAACTCCACTCACTTCATGATCTCCGAGGGTTAACTGCATAGGGCATTGTAACAAATGGCATTTATCCAAATTGAAAGAGAGTGTTGTCACTCGACCAGCCAAACAAGTGTCTTCTGTGAGGGTTGAGTTGAAGAGTGAATAAGATATTAATTTATTATTGTCGGTGAAAAGGAACAGAACACTTGATAGTCCTTTGGTGAGATCAATTGCGGAGGAGTGCCTTGGATGAAATATTTTTTCTGAATTCTGTAGCAAATTGGAAGCGTTTTGGGGAAAACTTATGGTTAGAACTTGAGCTTGAAAGTTAAGACTTACTTTTTTAAATAGGGTTGTTCAGGGGCTTACTTCCAAATACTTCAAAGCATTACTTCGGAGCGTGTTTAAGACACCTGAGTTAGTTCGGTGGGTTCCCCAAAACTTTGCTAAGCACTGTTAATAGTAAATTTAATTAGTTCGGAGAGTTAAGTCAGAGAGTTCTGCCAAAATTTCAATCTTTTGCCTCAAAGAGTTTTCCGGCCAGTGTCAAAATGACTTGAAAAAACCTAATTCTACTTTGGAGGATTCCTCTTTACCACTTCGGTGTTTTCCGTAACAATTTCTCACTGAGGCGGGTTACTAAAGAGTTTGAATCACTCTGGAGGTTTATTGCGGAGGATTACCCAAGGTCCGAAAGTAATGGTTTTTGACTCAAAAAAGTCTTCCATTATGTTCCACTTTGCTTAAAACAAGGTTAGTTGAATCTTTCAACGTTACTTGTAAGATAAGAAA